GTGGGTACAAGGGGGGTTTATGGGGGATCTGTGGGTACATGGGGGCTTTATGGGGGTGTCAGTGGGTACTGGGGGGACGTCACTGGGTGTTAGGGGAGGATTCAGTGAGTTTTGGGAGTGTCCAGTAGGTTTTGGGTCTGAGGTCACTGCAGCCCAGCCTGGACCCACTCGGATCCCACCCCAATCCCAAGGAGCTGAGGGGGATCCTGCCCCCCTCACCCATGTCAGGACAACATAAAATCCGATATATTTTGTGTTATATTGCACTGGAAGGGGGGCACAACTCCCCCTGACATCAACTTTGCAGGCTCTGTCGGGGAGGGGCTCAGGGGTAGGAAATCTTGCCTTGCAGAGGCAAATATTCCAAGATTTTTCCATCACGTCAGCAGGGAATTTTGGCCAGAGGTGCTTTACAGCTCCTTCACTTCTGCAGTGGTTTGGGTTTTTTTTAAATTCCGAGGGTCTTAAAATCAAATCCTTCAGGAAAAAATTCCCTTTGCTTTTATGGAAGCGTGGGGGGGGCGGCACTGGGGGGGTCTGGGGGTACAAGGGGGGGTTTTGGGGTGTCAGTGGGTACAAGGGGGGTTTATGGAGGTGTCTGTGGGTACAAGGGGGTTTTTTGGGGTGTCAGTGGGTACTTGGGGTTTTTTGGGGGAATCTGTGGGTACATGGGGGGTTTCTGGGGGTGCCTGTAGCTATGGGAGGGGTTTCTGGGTGGGGTGGGTGTGTCTGTGGGTACTGGGGGGGTGTCAGTGGGTACATGGGGTGGTTTTTGGGGGGTTGTCAGTGTATGATGGGTGCATGGGGTGGTTTTTGGGGGGGTGTCAGTGCATGTTGGGTACCTGGGATGGTTTTTGGGGGGTGTCAGTGCATGTTGGGGGGGTGTCAGTGGGTGCTGGGGGGGTCTGTGGGTACATGGGGTGGTTTTTGGGGGGGTGTCAGTGTATGATGGATACATGGGATGGTTTTTGGGGAGGTGTCAGTGCATGTTGGGTCCATGGGATGGTTTTTGGGGGGTTGTCAGTGTATGTTGGGTGCATGGAGTAGTTTTTGGGGGGGTGTCAGTGTATGATGGGTACCTGGGGTGGTTTTTGGGAGGATGTCAATGCGTGTTGGGGGGGTGTCAGTGTATGATGGGTGCATGGTGTGTTTTTGGGGGGGTCGCTGCCATTCCCGAGTTCTGCAGTGCCCTCGTGTGGCCCCGCTCGGCGCCGCATCCACATCCTGAGCCTCTGATTTCTGGGGTTTTATTAAAAACCTCCCATCAAACAGTCCAAACCTCCCCCCCCAACCCGGGTATTCCCGGGAATTTCCCCTTCCCACAGCGGGAGCTGAAGGGAAACCCTGATGTTGCTGCAGGAGGAGCAGATCTCGCCTTTTCCACCCCAAAATTGGGAATTATGTTTTTTTTTTCCCCCTGACTCCCCTCTCTGGCATTACCAGGGGCGATGAAGCGCTCGGTGGGTGATGCTGGAGGGACCAGTGTGACTTTAGGTCCCTGAAGGAGCCACTTGCCCAAACATCAGGTCGAATAAAAAGGTTGAGAACCTGTTTCAAAAATGCTGAGTATCCTCAATTTCCCTGTCTGTGCAGCTCAAACCCCCCGAATTCCCTCAGAGGAGTGGAAATTTCTCTTGTGCTGGGGTTGAAAGCTTTACGTTTTTCTTCTCAATACCATTAGAAGCAGTTAAGTGCTGCCTCCCCGACGTCCAGAAATGGCTTTTTGGTGCTTTTAACCGAGTTGTTATAAACTTGCTGTCGATGGAATTTTAAAGCTTTTTGTGAAAAGAGCCCAGAAAACATTCGGGGGGGGGGGCTCTGTGACAGGGGAGATGCTGGTGAAGAGGAGAAACCTTCATCCTTCCTGTTGCCAAAAAGCCCAGGGGGTGAGAAGTTAAACCCACAGGTCACTTTTTTCCTCCTCCTTCCTTCTCCTGGCCTGGAACAGGTTTGACCAGTTCAACCTGAGCTCAGCCAAGGGGAGGAGATGTTTAGAAAACAACATGTTTTCTAAAAAAACCACCTAAAACACACCTAATTCTGCCCTGGGTGGCATTTTTGGAAGGAAATCAGCCCCCCTTAAACCTACAGAGCTCAGGGCCTTTGATTTATCATTTTTTTGGGAGGATGGAAATGCACCATAAACGTCAGTGCTTCCAAGCCTGGTGTGGGAATGTCTCTGGCATCCTGCAAATAAGTTCCTGGAATGCTTCTCGGGCTGCTCAGAGGGTTTTGGCCATTTTTTTTTTTTGATTCACCTCTCTATTAAGGATTATTTGTTTGGAGTGGGGGGTTTGCTTGCAGGGTGCTGGAAATAGGTGCCTAAATTACCCAGGAGAGCTCTGGAGAGCAGGAGCAGCGCTGGCAGTGACACCACCCAGATTTCCAGCTCCCATTTCAAACCAACCTCCAACCCCAAAGTGGCCTCGTGGCCTCATTTGGGGATTTTAAATCGAGGAATTTTGCTGCAGAAATCCCAACTTGTGGCTGCAGATGCTGCTGCTGAGGGGAGTCCTCTGAGCCTGAGGGTTTGTGGGAGCTCAAAGTTGTTCCTCCTCAGGGCAAAGCCGTTGGGGAGTTGGTCTGAGAGGCCGTTTCTGTGCCTGGAGGGTCGGTGCCATCACAGGGGTTTCTCCCCTGTCTGATCTCCCCCTTTATCTTCCCCTGCATCCCAGAAAAGCAGCTTTTCTTTATCAAACGTTGAAGCAACACATGGGCACTGACTGAGGGGAGGAGCAGGGAGTGAGTCCTGGTGGATGCTCAGCCCTGCATGGGGCTGCCAGCCCGGATTTCCCAGGAGCATCTTCTCTGGTGCCTCCTCAGCCCTTTTTTGGGACAAAATCCCGACCCAAACCAGATCAGACCCCAAAATATATTGGTTCTGCCCATCCCTGAAGCCCCCACACTGAAATGGGTTGGAATTTCATGGTTTATTTTCAACTGAGGACTGTCAAGCTCAGGATCCAGCGCTGGGTTTAAATCACGAGTTGCTTTCACACCAAACAACGGGTTTGGGATTTGCTCTTTGGGTGTTTTCAGGCTTGGGTTTGTGGTTTGGAAAGAGGTTTCTGCCCGGCCGTGGGGATGGTTTTTAAGCCGAGATTCTCAAGTAATTCCTTGATGGCAAAGAGCTCGTAAGAAAAACAGGAATGTTATGAAACATGTGGTGTAAAATCTCAGCGGTTCCGTGGGGCCCCAGCCAGGAGTTATAATTGAAATCGCTTAGAAGTCAGAGAAAAGCCAATAACTTATTAATGCAGCTTTTCTAAAGCAAAAAATCCTGCCTTCCTTTGCTGTTTGCCAGCAGGGAAAAAGCATAATTAAAGTTTCTTTGTATTGCTTTGTGAGCGCAGGGGATCGGACGGGGGGAGATTTATTTCCCGTACCTGGAGGAGGGTCTTTAACCACGAGGTGTTTGTTGGGGTTTTTTTTTTTCAGTAAGCGGCTCAAAAACCAGAAAATCTGTGTGAAAATGGCAAACTGGCTTCTGATGCAGCCCCAGAGGAATTGCAGTGGGGGATGCCCTCATCCTGTGGGTTGTTCCAGTGGGAGCAGAGGGCTCGGAGCCGAGTGGGTGCATGGCCTGGGTGGGATGGGAGCTGTCACAGGAGCCAGGATGGAGCTTCCTTGGATCTTCCCACGTGAATTATCAATCTAGAGGTTCCTCTTGGGAGGGGGGACTGGGATAAGTTGTGCCCCCGCCTCCCCAAGAGCCTTTTTATTCGTGAGGATGGAATTCCAGGGAATAAACGCTTCGTGCCTCTGTTCTCCCCCCAGCAGAGGGATCAATATGCAGGAAATGTAAGTTAACCAAGTGTCAGGTTCATCCCAGCTTCTCCTCTGCCCTTTTTTTTCCCAAAGGAAGTGATTCCAGTGTCCTAAACAGACACCAGAGTCTCTTGTTGCACAGGGTTTTCTCCATAGGAGGGATTTTAGGAGGGTGGCAGAGGAGATGCCGCTTTAGGATCATCCAGTTGGTGCCCCGTGAGTGTGCAGGTGCCCAGAGCCCCTGGCTGTGGCACCAAGGACCTCCTTGGATTTGGGAAATGGGATTTCAGCCTCCCCATAGTGCCAGGGGTTGAGCAGACTTGGCCTGGTGGTGCTGGGTTACAGCAAACCCGGGGTTGATGTCCCCTCACGTGGTGCATGAACAGCAGGATGAAATGTTTGGTGGGTTCTGTGTCCCTGCTCCAAGGGGAACGAGGGCAAGAGATGCTCGAGGTTCTGCACTCGAAATGTTCTGGGGCTGTAGCCAAGATTTGGGGGGTTTTGTTGTTTCCCATTGGAGGTTTGAGTGTCCTGAGGCCCTCAGTGAAGGAGACTCTTCCTCTGCTCAAGTGCCGAGGGGAAACCAGGGTGAACTTCTCTTCATTTTGCTGTGGGACACATTTGTGTGACAACTTGAGGCCAGAAAGGCA